TATCCCTAACACACTGAGGGAAATACTTCTCGAAGAAGGCTCCTTTGAATTGAGCCCAAGTCATTACGGTGTTGTTATCACGGATAAGCATCCACCACCTTCTGGCTTCTTCTTGTTAATCAGATATCGATATCCCCTCATTCAGATTATATTTTTGCCATGATAAACATGATTTTAAAAATAAATTGTTAAAAAAATATATTTTGATTAAGTACCTATCTATATCCTATCAACGTGATTTTTTACAAGAATAAAGTACTCAACGAGTTCAATACATTGAATGGTTCGAATCATCAAAATGAAACCCATAGTAGTAAACCCCATGGTCTCAACAGCACTGTCCAATGTGCACTGGAGAGAAGTCTTACCATTTTCAAAAGAGTAATACTAAGGACCTAAAATAATCTACCAAATGTTTTATCAAAGCTCTCACATAGGTATGAGACTCACACACATGTGGGTTTATGTGGGTCCTACACCCATATGAGATATTTGATAAAACATGTCGTAGATTATTTGGGATTCATAGTAGTTTTCTTTTCTCATGCTAAGGCTTAGGCCCAAACCCGGCCCTATGGGTTTAGCACCGTAACCGGCCAGTAATCCGAGATTACCGAAGGCCTGCTTAACAGTAATACAGTAATACAAAGCACAGGGGCTGGCGGAAGCCAATACAGTAAATAAACAATGTCCAATGAGCTGTGACAGTCTGTATGCAAAAAGACTTCTCATTCAAATATATACAGTCAGACAAAACAGTATGTACATATATACAATCATTCAGTTCAGGGACCTAATCCCTGTTAAATAGTATAGTACAGTCTATACAGTCGTGCAAAACAGATACAGAGACGAACGGGAAATTAAAAACACCCCTAAGCCGTAGCTTGACAGGCTCGGAACCTCGCATTGAGGCACATAGGTTGGCTCGATAAAATTGGAGTTTACCCCGACGCCTCTACCTACGGTCTGGTGCCTGTATACCTACATATATATAAGAGCAGTGAGCTAAAGCCCAGTGAATAACACAATGCATAAAGGGGTTAAGAATGAATATCGTTACAGTAATGAAAACAATTCATTAATTCAGTATATCAATCATTCGATCATATGTGGTACATCCATTAGCATAACAGTACAGTAAACAGTAGGTCTTAAAAGACCGGACAGTAAATGATGGCCATCTATTAGTAAACAATAGTGGTTTCAACAAGGGAACCGACAGAGATCTCTGTAACAGTAACAGTAAACAGTAGTTGCTAAGGATGCCACAATACAGTTCAGAATATAGGACATACATTCATTCAATTAACAGTAATGAAAGCAGTACAGTTCAGTTGTTCAGAAAATAATCATTTATGAACATATCTTTACACAATTGTTTCTCACAGAGTTCTGGGCTACAGTAAAGCTAGAGCGCGTCCCCAGTCGCCAACCCTACACAGTTACAGATTGAACACACACTAAGCTACACAGTTGGGAAATAATAACTTAATCCCTAATTGCCTCGGTGTGTTCTACATCTATATTCTCATTAAGATGCCTTAAACTAGGCCTAAGAATGCCTAGGATGAGATGAGGATGCAAAGATGCACTTTAAAAACATTTTCAGACTTTTTAGAAAACAGGGGTCACGCTCGAGCGTAGGTTACTCCGCTCAAGCGGACACGCAGACAAAGGTTTCCGCTCGAGCGCATACTTACCCGCTCGAGCGTTCTGCAAAACAGTCAAAAGTGCTGGATAGGTGAAAATCACACTCGATTGGGCGCTCGACACCCGCTCGAGCATGAGACACAATGTCCCGCTCGAACGTCAATTCTTTCGCTCGAGCGGACTTCAAAACAGAATAAAATGCTGGGAGCACGATTTCCACGCTCGAGCGCCAGTCACCCCGCTCGAGCGTGAGTCCAAATTCTGGAAATTCCAGATTTGAACCTCAAGCTCAAAACCAAGTTTTAAACCATAAATTTCGATCCTCTTGGGCCAATTTTCTAGAAAACACATCAAAACTCATACTTTAGCATGATTCAAAGCTCAATTTGTAAAATCGAGGCCTAAGTGTGTTTCAAACAACTTAATTTGAAACCAATTTTCATGAATATGAAGAACATGCAAACATACATGAATTTAAACCATTTCAAAGCTTCAATTTGATGCTCTAAGGAGCCAATTGTTCCAAAAACAAGATAAAAACATGGTCCTGAGCATTAACATGAGCATGCATGCAAAAATCCATGAAGAACAACCTCAAAATGCAAGAGTATGCCATGCATGCCAAGATTAAGCTTCAATTCAACACTATTGAACCAATTCATGCCTTAAATCACGAAAGACCCAAGAATTATGCAAGAAAAAGTCCAAATACACAATAACTAAGGTCAATGATCTACCTTAGGTCTTGTAGTCCAAGAAGGGAGCTCAAATATGCAATCTCTTCTACAATTTCTTCAAGTTCCAAGCAAAACACAATCTAGAACTCAATTTCTCTCCCCCTAACTCTCTTGGTCGGCAAAACAATGAAATTCAAACCAATTTCATTTCAAAGGAAGAATATGCAAACATGCATGGATTAAAACCATTTCAAAGCTTCAATTTGATGCTCTAAGGAGCCAATTGTTCCAAAAACAAGATAAAAACATGGTCCTGAGCATTAACATGAGCATGCATGCAAAAATCCATGAAGAACAACCTCAAAATGCAAGAGTATGCCATGCATGTAAAGATTAAGCTTCAATTCAACACTATTGAACCAATTCATGCCTTAAATCACGAAAGACCCAAGAATTATGCAAGAAAAAGTCCAAATACACAATAACTAAGGTCAATGATCTACCTTAGGTCTTGTAGTCCAAGAAGGGAGCTCAAATATGCAATCTCTTCTACAATTTCTTCAAGTTCCAAGCAAAACACAATCTAGAACTCAATTTCTCTCCCCCTAACTCTCTTGGTCGGCAAAACAATGAAAATGAGCTGATGAAGAGTTGCCTAAGTATATAATAAGTCTCAAACATGGCTCATGTAGTGGGCCACTAAGTGTGGCAAAATGGTAAATAAGTGTAACAATGCAATTTAACTCATTTTAATCTAATTTAATCATACATAATCAGTTTTCAGGTAATTACACCATAAAATCACATGAATCACGATGATTGTAAAACACTAATCGGTTTCCGGTTCGGCCGCCGATAAGGCCCTCAATTAGCAGTTTAAACACAAAGACACGAACAGATAATCAAATAACCAAACAGATAGAATTACAATTAAACAGGTATACTCAGTCAATTCAGTTTCAATTTCAGTCAATCAGTTCAGTAGTTTATTCAGTTCACTTATCAGTCATAATCAGTTTCAGTTTAACGGTAATCAGTGGTTATTCGGTAAACAGTGACGAGGGTTGTTACACTTTGGCTCAATCTTGCCAAGTCTGCCATAGAAACCTCAGGTTTTGTTTGGAAAAATTGGGCATGAAAAATCTCCTCTATTTGCTGCCAAGTTTGGATAGAGCCTGGTGTAAAATTTATATACCATATGAAGGCTGCTCTAGTTAAAAAGTTTGGAAAAAGTCTTACTTTCATGTAATCATTATTAGTGAACTCACCACACTAGCCTGTAAACCTAGCAATGTGTTCCACTATTGACTGGTTTCCTTTCCCATAAAAGAGGGCAAAGTCTGGTGTTTTAAACCCCCTTGGATACTCATGTACCCTATCCACCCACTCTGGGTAAGGTTTTTTGTACACTGGTGTTTGGACCCCCCCAACCATAAGTCCACACATTTCTCTAACTATATCAGCAATTTGGTCCCTTGGAACCATATTTTGTGCTAGTTGAACCACTACTAGAGGAACAATCATAGGGTTTGGAGGAACTCCATGTGCTTGAGGTCTTGGTCCATATATGGGTACATTCAAGGCTGGCTGTCCTTGTTGTACTGGTTGCTATTGGAGGTATGACTAACCTTTTGAAATCTGTCCTGGGAAAGGCCCTATGAAAGGTGCTACAGGAGGAGGAACAAGTGTTGTTTCTCTTCCAACCGTTGGGAATCCCTTCAACCCCTCGAGTGCAAATTCAAACACAGGATTAGTGAAACCCTGTGTGCCAGGTATGGCTTCGAACATAGGATTTGGAAACATCCTCATACCATTCCCTTGTGCTGGCCCAAATCCACCAATTTGTATGGTTTCACTGGTGGGCAATGGTGCATTTTGGTTTGCTAGTGGTCTCAAAGGAGCTTCGTACCATGACTGAGGCATAGGTGACATTCTCTCATGGTTTTGATTACTAGATTGACCATTAGTTTGTCCATTATTTTGCATAGGCTATTTGCTTCGAGCCAATCTATGCAGAAGGAAATCACTACAACAAAAAAAGGGTTTTTACAGAGCGCAATGCACGCCGTAAAAACCCTTCTACGACATGCAGTGTGCGTCATATTATGACTAGTCATGGAAAGTCATTAACTTTCAACGACATGCTTTATACGCTGTTAAAAACTATTTAACAACAGATTTTGTGCGTCGTTTTTACATTTTCTACGACATGCTATAGTACGCCGTTAAAAATTATTTAACGGCAGATTTTATGCGTCGTCGTTACTTTTTTTATGACTATTTTTGCATGCCGTTAATTGATGAGACAAATAACGACGTTGATTGCGCACCGTAAAATATGTAATACAACGACTTATTATGCTTGCCGTAAAATATGTAGTTTTTTTTTATATTTATTTTTAAATTCAGCAGGTTCTATTTGACTAATTTTGTACAATCTAACAAATATTACAAACAAGTATCACAAAACATTAATCAACCACCAAAATATTGTTTGAAACATAAAAAAGAAACTATATCCATAAATTATAAATATTAAACAATTGTTTACATTCCAAACATTCGAAAACCATATCCTTAAGTTCTAAACTATACAAAAAGTTTAAACCATCCAAAACTATGCATATCTAACTTTCTAAACATATCGACAACTATTAAGAGATTATCTAAAACTACCAACAATAGTTCCTATAGCAGTTGTAGTTGCAGCTGTAGCTGTAGCAAATCCATTTGCTCCTATCACAGGGACGAGAGTGCCCAATGTATGTGTTAAGGCACCCAAACCCGCAACAATAGCTGAAACAACTAACTCTATTGCATTTCTTGTCTGCATGACAAAAGAAATTTCACATAAGTACGGAAACCAACAACTCAGAGACAAATATTTCTTGACGTATTAAGAAATGATCAAGAAATTTTAAAACATTAACAAAATATTTCCAAAATTAATAAGATAATTCAATGGTCCCATAAAAGCAATGTCATAATGAAAAATCATCTTAGGTTGGTTTTTATGTCAAAACTTTGCATTTTTCGTCCTCTTTCCAACAAAATTTATTTGAGCAAAAGTTACTGGGTAGATTGAGAAAAATGCTCATTTTTCTAAAAGTGTGTCAAATCTAGACAGAAGATGTGTATGGCCTATAGATAAAAATTCTAGTTAGGTTATGCAAATTTTGAAATTGGGAATGAAAGTAAACTTATTATTCCATGTTTCTGTTTGTTTTCAGAACCTAAAAAGGTCCAAAAGTATTTTTACTGACCCAATCCTTTGGCTCCTACTAATCTAAAATCTGCTGAAAATGTGTTACTAATCTAAAATCTGCTGAATGAATTAATTAAAACTAGATAGTCCCTTCACTGAAATATTTCTCTGCTTTACTCAGTCATTCTTGTGTTCAATAATTGAATATTGATTTAATACGTTAATTTATATACTAGACTAAAAGGAAGTAACAATAGTAATGCCACAAACTAGTGGTGTTTAAGGCATAAGATAGATATCAACAATCTACTACAACTCTCAAAAGAATCAAAACCAAAATCAATGCTCATTTTAATGCGTTAGATATGAATTTTTCAACCAAAATCATCTACATGCCATACACATTTACTTTCCTACCCCAGGGCTAATATTCACCTTCTTCTAGTTTTCATTTTATCCATTTTATAAATTAGATGTGAAACTTTTCAACCAAAAAATATTTTCTTTATATCTAACATAGTGCTTCCAGATCAGTGTTAGAAGTGTCGAAATTGTAGCAAGATCCCAGGGTCCATCAATCCTTTTTTTGTTTGTTCATTGAGCACTCATTCATCATACTCTTCCCCATTAAAGTTCCAAGTAAATTTGTTCACAATCTATCTCGCACGCAAATTGAAGTAGCAAAAAATACTAGCAAAGAGACGAAAGAAATTGAAACAAAGATTAAAATGGTGGAGCCACATTTTATAGTTTTGCAATTCTTATCAGGAAATCAGTTTCTCCTGTGTGACAATATATCGAATTAAAAACTATAAAACTCCATGTGGCTGAATAAAAGAAGAGTGAGGAAGGGAAAAGGCAGTGTATGCACCTTTACAAGCAATGACTTTCTTCCTGAGCTGGAACTCACTATAAGTCCCATTGATTTCCTATCACGGTCAAACTCAAGAGTGGCAATCCATTTTTCAATCTTACTCCACATCCAACAACAACCTTCAATTACATAAAATTAAATGGAACACATTAGCAGCCATGTAAACATGTTTAGTAAACAACAAAAACGTAAGTTATAGGGTTAATTACACTAATAGTCCCTATAGTTTGAGACTTGTGTCATTTTGGTCCCTGACTTTTCAATTGTGATACATTTGACCCTAAATTTTGAATCTTGTTTCAAATAAGGACAATTGAAAATATTATTAAATTTTTCAAGGGTAAAATCATTAATTTGATAAAATATAAACTAATTTGACAAAAATAAATGTCAAACGAGAGTGCCCAATGTATGTGTTAAGGCACCCAAACCCGCAACAATAGCTGAAACAACTAACTCTATTGCATTTCTTGTCTGCATGACAAAAGAAATTTCACATAAGTACGGAAACCAACAACTCAGAGACAAATATTTCTTGACGTATTAAGAAATGATCAAGAAATTTTAAAACATTAACAAAATATTTCCAAAATTAATAAGATAATTCAATGGTCCCATAAAAGCAATGTCATAATGAAAAATCATCTTAGGTTGGTTTTTATGTCAAAACTTAGCATTTTTCGTCCTCTTTCCAACAAAATTTATTTGAGCAAAAGTTACTGGGTAGATTGAGAAAAATGCTCATTTTCCTAAAAGTGTGTCAAATCTGGACAGAAGATGGTGTATGGCCTATAGATAAAAATTCTAGTTAGGTTATGCAAATTTTGAAATTGGGAATGAAAGTAAACTTATTATTCCATGTTTCTGTTTGTTTTCAGAACCTAAAAAGGTCCAAAAGTATTTTTACTGACCCAATTCTTTGGCTCCTACTAATCTAAAATCTGCTGAAAATGTGTTACTAATCTAAAATCTGCTGAATGAATTAATTAAAACTAGATAGTCCCTTCACTGAAATATTTCTCTGCTTTACTCAGTCATTCTTGTGTTCAATAATTGAATATTGATTTAATACGTTAATTTATATACTAGACTAAAAGGAAGTAACAATAGTAATGCCACAAACTAGTGGTGTTTAAGGCATAAGATAGATATCAACAATCTACTACAACTCTCAAAAGAATCAAAACCAAAATCAATGCTCATTTTAATGCGTTAGATATGAATTTTTCAACCAAAATCATCTACATGCCATACACATTTACTTTCCTACCCCAGGGCTAATATTCACCTTCTTCTAGTTTTCATTTTGTACATTTTATAAATTAGATGTGAAACTTTTCAACCAAAAAATATTTTCTTTATATCTAACATAGTGCTTCCAGATCACTGTTAGAAGTGTCGAAATTGTAGCAAGATCCCATGGTCCATCAATCCTTTTTCTGTTTGTTCATTGAGCACTCATTCATCATACTCTTCCCCATTAAAGTTCCAAGTAAATTTGTTCACAATCTATCTCGCATGCAAATTGAAGTAGCAAAAAATACTAGCAAAGAGACGAAAGAAATTGAAACAAAGATTAAAATGGTGGAGCCACATTTTATAGTTTTGCAATTCTTATCAGGAAATCAGTTTCTCCTGTGTGACAATATATCGAATTAAAAACTATAAAACTCCATGTGGCTGAATAAAAGAAGAGTGAGGGAGGGAAAAGGCAGTGTATGCACCTTTACAAGCAATAACTTTCTTCCTGAGCTGGAACTCACCATAACTCCCATTGATTTCCTATCACGGTCAAACTCAAGAGTGGCAATCCATTTTTCAATCTTACTCCACATCCGACAACAACCTTCAATTACATAAAATTAAATGGAACACATTAGCAGCCATGTAAACATGTTTACTAAACAACAAAAACGTAAGTTATAGGGTTAATTACACTAATAGTCCCTATAGTTTGAGACTTGTGTAATTTTGGTCCCTGACTTTTCAATTGTGATACATTTGATCCTAAATTTTGAATCTTGTTTCAAATAAGGACAATTGAAAATATTATTAGATTTTTCAAGGGTAAAATCATTAATTTGATAAAATATAAATTAATTTGACAAAAATAAATGTCAAAAAAATATTTTTAATTTTTTTAAAATTATTTTTATCCACCAGTGATAAAGTTATGTAAAATTAATAAAAATTACATGAGTAATTTTTTAAAATTAATTTTACATGATCATCATCCAAACACATAATAAAAATTAATTTGGTAAAAAAAAAGTAAATAAATGTCTAAAAGATTTATCAATTTTACATAAAATTAAATGGAACACGTTAGCAGCCATGCAAACATGTTTAGTAAACAACAAAAACATAAGTTATAATTGTAACTTACGTAGAACATCACCATAACCTTTAAATGTACCAGCCAGCTTATCTTTCATGAGTTCACTCTTGGTTGGTGTTCATTGTTTCCTCCCAAGTTAGGTTGTCCAGGAGGCACATATGTAAGATTCATTGGCAACTGAGGTACAGATACAGGCTTCCCCCTCAGCGCATCAAAACCCGGTGAAATATTGCTTTGGAAAAAGTTGGGTAAATAGGGCATGCCGAACTCTGGTAGTGCTAAGCTACCATCAGTTTGAGCACGAGAGGTGTTGACTTGTTCTGGAAATAACCTTGAGTTATTGCAACATTATTCTCAACAACTAATGCCCCTGTAAGTGTCTTAAATGCGAATTCTAAGCACGGATCGGACCAGGAATCCCTAGATGGATTGACTTCAGATCCTAGATTTTCCTGGTCTTTCATCTCAGTTTCTGGCCTTGCTGGTTGATCTTCTGGAACAGCTTGGTCCTCCAAAGCCTTCTCGTTAATGTCTGACAGTTTTGTGCCTCTCAAATCATGATCTGTAATCTGTGTTGAAATCGTCTGCAATGGTTTGACTTCAGTTTCACCAGACTTTCCAGTTGCAGCTCCATGAGCTTGTTCACTTAACACACAATTGACCACCGTCTTGAGTTTGAGCTCCTCGAGTCGTTTTGAAGACCGACGCGGCAAATCAAATTCTTTTTTAACCTTGGGTATGTATTGCCTTTTTATGTTGCGCTTATTTTCAATACTTTTCTCTTCCAGATTCTCCTCGCGTAAGATCTCAGTTGAGGGAGTGGAAACAGTCCCATTGTCAGCAGATACACTCGTGCATTGCCTTTTCTGTAAGACCTCAGCATTTGTCGTTTCTAAGCTTCTTGCAACACTGTTTTCCAAACTCTGAATCGCCAGATTTTCCTTGCTGAGAATTGACCCTGTAAGAGTCTTAACTACAAAATCTAGTGATGGGTCTGACCAAGAATCCCCGAATGGAGAGAGCAGCTGTGATTCTATATTTTCCTCATCTTTCTTATCAGTTTCCTGCTTCACTGATTGGTTATCTGGAACAATTTGGTCCTCCAGAGGCATCTTGCTTCTGTTTGACAGCTCAACATTTGATGGAAAGCTATGAGACAAATTATCAGGGGGAGATGGTTTGGCTTCACTTTCACCAGACTTTCTAGCTGCAGCTCTAAGAACTTGTTCACTTAATTCCAAGTTGACTGCCACCTCGGGTTTGAGCCCTGCAAGTCGTTTTGAAGACCTAAAACGCGAATTAACTGTTTTGTTCTTGGATTTGCTGTAGTCAATCTGCACTTTTCTGTTCCTATTCTCTCCCATGCCATTCTCTGACAATTTCTCTTCTCGAACCATCCCAGTTGAGGGAGTGGGAACAGTCCCATTTTCGGCACAAACCCTCTGGCCTCGTTTTCTCTTGGAGCCTTCAGTTCTTGGCAGAGGATCATTACGTACTTTCAATTTAGCACTCCCTTCAATTGCATTATCAACCGAATGCTTTCCTTTCAGAATCTCAGTTGTGGAAGTTGAAGTATTCATAGAATCATCAGATACACTCGTGCATTGCCTTTTCTGTGAGCCCTCAGCATCCGTTTAGACTAAAAGGAAGTAACAATAGTAATGCCACAAACTAGTGGTGTTTAAGGCATAAGATAGATATCAACAATCTACTACAACTCTCAAAAGAATCAAAACCAAAATCAATGCTCATTTTAATGCGTTAGATATGAATTTTTCAACCAAAATCATCTACATGCCATACACATTTACTTTCCTACCCCAGGGCTAATATTCACCTTCTTCTAGTTTTCATTTTGTACATTTTATAAATTAGATGTGAAACTTTTCAACCAAAAAATATTTTCTTTATATCTAACATAGTGCTTCCAGATCACTAAGTCCAGTGTAGAAATTGTAGCAAGATCCCATGGTCCATCAACCCTTTTTATATTTGTTCATTGAGCACCCATTCATCATACTCTTCCCCATTAAAGTTCCAAGTAAATTTGTTCACAATCTATCTCGCACGCAAATTGAAGTTGCAAAAAATACTAGCAAAGAGACAAAAAAAATTGAAACAAAGATTAAAATGGTGGAACCACATTTTATAGTTTTGCAATTCTTATCAGAAAATCAGTTTCTCCTATGTGACAATACATCAAATTAAAAACTATAAAACTCCACATGGCTAAATGAAAGAAGAGTGAGGGAGGGAAAAGGTGGTGTATGCACCTTTACAAGCAATGACTTTCTTCCTGAGCTGGAACTCACTATAAGTCCCATTGATTTCCTATCACGGTCAAACTCAAGAGTGGCAATCCATTTTTCAATCTTACTCCACATCCGACAACAACCTTCAATTACATAAAATTAAATGGAACACATTAGCAGCCATGTAAACATGTTTACTAAACAACAAAAACGTAAGTTATAGGGTTAATTACACTAATAGTCCCTATAGTTTGAGACTTGTGTAATTTTGGTCCCTGACTTTTCAATTGTGATACATTTGATCCTAAATTTTGAATCTTGTTTCAAATAAGGACAATTGAAAATATTATTAGATTTTTCAAGGGTAAAATCATTAATTTGATAAAATATAAATTAATTTGACAAAAATAAATGTCAAAAAAATATTTTTAATTTTTTTAAAATTAT